AAATAACCTAATTATAATTATAATATAATATAAAAAAAATTTAAAAACATTATTTTTTTAAAAAAAATAAAAAATAAAAAAATTGACGGGTACGGGTACGGGTACGGGTATACCCGATACCCGACGGGGACGGGGATGGGGATGAAAATCCATACCCAACTGGTATGGAGACGGGGATGGGGATGAGTTTTACTTGCGGGGACGGGGACGGGTATCATGAAACCCGTACCCGCCCCGCCCCGTTGCCATCCCTACTCCTCTTCCTCAGGAAAGGTTAAGAACTTCGCTGCCGATACGAAGCGGATCAAGGAGTTCTTATCGGTGTATCGTGAATACACGCTACCAACCTCCCCGTGCACCCACGATTATCCAGGAGTTGATATGGGAGCAAAACTCCTGGACGATCCACCACCTCGGCTCAGCTGATCGTCAGAAGCCATCGTCGATGAAGAGTGACTCCCACTTTGCGACCGTTTGGACCCGGGTGCGGACCCTGCACGATCCTCTCCGTTGGAAGCCGAGGCCGATACGATGTCTCGGTCCGGCGTCTCCCTCAACCTAGAATCACCCTCGTCCCCGGAGGAGTCAATATGAACAACGTTTAAATCTGCCATTACGTACCTGATTGTTGAACTTGACCAATCTTTGTTGAAGAATACTCGAAAACCGCAACTCATCTGATCTCGGCTCGGAGCAAGTGACAAACGCGTATCTTTGGGGACCCTCCCCACACGCCTATTTATAGGCGTTCCTCGGAAGTATATCAAACGCCACACCCCTCTACACACCGTTGGATCACTTAGATCCAACGGTTCATGATGCACAACCCTTTGCGTGCGTCATTAGTACCCAACGATTATAACCCTTCGTATTCCGACAACGGTTACAACTCTTCATCTTCTATAAGCAGTCATAACTCCTTGCACGCGTCATTAATGCTCAACGGTTGCAACCCTTCATTTCCCACCAGCAGTTGTAACCCTTGGCCTTCTCTCAAAAAAGGTAACAACCGAAATACCATATTCACCCTTTGCGTCGTTTCACTCCTAAAGGCTGGGGGGCTTGTGTACCGGGAGGACCCTATCGGTCACGTGGACCAACACGTGCCGTTCCGTCAGACACCCACGCGAACCGAACCATACCTAAAACCTTAACGCTAGCATCGGCTCGGC